GGCCCGCAGCTGCTCTAGTAGTTTTCCCTTTTCGAAGTTGCTTGAAAATTTTCAAATTTCCGGCTCTCTCTCTCTCGCTCTTGCCTCACACTCTTAAGGAAATTGTCTACGCATGTTTCTGGCACTTTTCATGCGGATTCATGTGTGGGATTTTCGCTTATCCATTATTAATACACGATTTCCAAAAGTGTGGAACACAAATTCGCAATTTGCTCAAAGATTTCGCAGAGAGTTGCTTGGTGGTGGGGTGGGGGGAGAGCTCTGAAAGAGGCGTGAATTAGCTGCAATTGCCAGGCTGACACGATAAGCATTTGCCCTTACCATTTACCCATTTCCCCCCTCCCAACTGCTGCTGCCAGGAATAGCTGGCATATGGATTTCCGTTGTCCGACTCTCCTGACTCCGGCCGTGCCTTATCTCGCGGCTGTGTGCAGGGGCCGTGTCCTGTCCTGATGTAATAATCCGCAGGAATTAATAAATAAACCATTAACAAATAAACTAGAGACGGGGCACGAGGCATGAATGTGCGTGCCGCTTGGAACCCTTATCAACGGCATTCCAACCCTCCCAACAGACAGACTTGACTTTCTGCAAACATCAGCAAATAAAAGCCAAGCACTCACACCCCTTACGAATGTATCTCCGATGCAACATTTTCCACAGTGCACAGTGGTGCAAAGATTCGTTATCTTTAGCAAAATTTACATGTATCCCCCGCTCCACTGTACCGGCTCCATGCCAAAGCAGAGGTCAATGTTTGGTCATAAATTGGGGGTCGGAGTGCCAAGTCTGAGAGTGGGGCGTGTCCAGCTTTAAAAAGAACTGAGGACAAAATGCAAATGGCTTTTGTGCGTGTGCGTGTGTGGGGTGTGTCACTGTGTGTATGTGTGGGTGTTGTTTCCACCTAAAACAGAAATTCCAGTCAATTAAATAGAAATAAATGAATGAATAATTGATAGTTTTTCAAAGGCTACCACCAGAAAGGCTTCTCCACTTTGCAAGCTCTGCCTTGAGCTCAAAAATCCATTGTAATTAGTGAGGCAAACAGAGAAGGACAGCAGGAAAGAGAAGCAGGTGAGAAAAAGGGAGAGTGAGAGGGAAGGATTGTGGAAAGAGCATCCCACCAAAAACCTGTGTCGGAATGTCATTTGAATAATTTAAAATGTTAGACGCGTTCGATGGGCCAGACTTTGACACTGACCATGGAGAGCTCCATGGCTGTCCCCCAAAAAGGGGGACAGACCGAAAGGGGAGAGGCCGCCACTGGGCGGTTTAGGATAGCCACAATGACGTTAATGACAGTGACGAGCGGTTGTTTGCCTCAGTTCTCGACCAAACAGTCGGCACAAACAAACAAATCCACTGCACGCACGTACTCCACAGGCGACACACTCATGCACAGACACCACACACACGCACAGACACACAGACACACACCCACACTCATACACTCGTAAAAAAAAAACAATCAAAATGCAAAACGAAACGCGGCATAGCCAAAGGAGTGAAGCACACCACTGGGAGTGTCTGTCCACCACCCGGAGGATCAACAACAAACACAAATGGTTCCTGATTGCAGCCAGGAAGCGGCTGAAAGGGGTCGCATCGGAGAGGGAGCTGCAAGTCTCTGTCTCTGTGTCCCTCTGTCCTTCTGTCTGTCTGTCTGGCTATGCGACTAGAATTCAACATTTTGCCGCCATTAAAATCAAATTGCACTTTCGTGCAGCAGCAGCAGAGGCCAGGGATACCCAAAAACCAAAAGAACGATGTGGCAGGAGGCAGGCAGCAGGCAGCAGGCTGCGGCATGAGCCAGGAGACAGCCTGGTGTAAGGTACGGGCCACGGGCCGTGTCAACGTTTTGGCCATTTCAGCAAAAATATTGCTCCCGTTTTATCCGCCTGCTGCTGGCTGCTGCTGCTATTTCCATTTGCCGTAACTCCTCTCCGCTGCTGCGCTGCCGCACCGTTCCACTCCTTTTTTTTATGATTAATAAAAGTCAAATGTAAATAGTCAGAACGAAATGAAAGCAAGCGTCGCACGGCGACCTTCAACTGGGTGCAGCGTTGGGTTGGAGGTGGAGTGGCATTGGACTGTGTTGGGGGTTCTGACAGAACTCTGCATCTCTGGCGCATTGCCGCACTTTCACCCTCGCATTCCCCCATTCAGGACTTTCGCTTAATTTCTATTAGCATTGCGCGCTGTTGCTGCTGTCTCTTCGTTTTCATAGCTGCGGCACGCGGCACAGGTTGCTGAGGTTACCCCAGAGTGGGTGGTGGTTCAGGGACTTCTGCAGCTGTCTGGCTGCCTTGATTGTTTGTATTTCTCATGGCACTCGATGTCAGTCAAAATCGCTTCTCTGTCTCATTCGGCGTTCGTGCTCTCCTCTCTTCCCACTCTGTCTAAAAGGTTACCCCCGAAAAAGTATGCAACATCAAACTGAAACAGCACCCTCCTCCCCTCCCCCGCTCAGCAACAATCCATCCACCCGTTTAAGCAACCAATGAACCCTCCCACTTTGTACTGCTGTTTGTTTTACAACGTTTTTAACTTGTTTGCAAGGATTAGGTAAGCAACTCAAACAGGCAGGGACGAACAGGAACAGGAACCATCAGCAG